TAGTGATTTTTTACAAACTTTTGGAGATCGTAAAACTCGATCCTTAAGGCCACTTTTGACAAAAAAATTTTTTTTTTAATTTTTGGAATTTTTGGAAGTCTCCAAATTTTTTCAAAAATTTTTACCCGCGCAAAAAAATTTTATCGTGATTTTAATTAGCCTTTGATAAGGCTCGATTAAGGCTTAATTGTTTTTTAATGGGCGTTTTTTTATCAAATTTAATTTTATTCTAAAGTTGTAGTGCACGGATTTGACTTCGGTAAAGTTATTTAAAGCTGCTTTCTGATGTCAAAAACGACNTCGTAGCCTTCAAGTCTTTATGCAAGTTTCAATACCGTAATTTAATTCTATCAAATTCAAAATGTTAAAAAGCTTTTTTAAAACCTTCGTCGATTAGAAATTATTTAATTAAAATTTTATAATTAGCTTCTTGCATGAATATTATTAATCATCAAACTATAATTCATCCATAAAAAATAAACGTTATTAGTTTTGCATATTAAAAATGAACGTGTTAATTATTTCCTCTTTGCAAAATGGATCTTCTAAGAAAATAACTAATTGCTAGTTTTAACACGGAAATAATTATATTTATATATTAATAATATTATTAAAATACTGTACATATTTTTTACATCAAATATTTAATTTATATCATCGAAGAATCAGATTCGAACCTTATCTGTTTTTTCAATAGCTTTTTATGTCTTATTTGAGGGGCCTTTTTTATGTTTAATGACTTGTCCCGATGTCGAATGACCTCATAACAACTCAGGCCCATCCACAACAATTTAAATTTAAGTCGCTGATAGCGATATTGTCCTTCAGAAGATACGGAAAATCTTTTACAATTCGATATGTTTTAGATTTATTAATGGCATTGTCCATATAGGGAAGTATTATACTTTATATATTGACTTTGTACATCCTATATAACAGATTTTATTCGTAGCCGCCCATAAAGTTGGACAATGAACTCTTCAGTAACAATTAGTAAACAATATAAGGTTAGAATCCAAGTAGCTTGACTATTGATATTTAATTGCACTGGAAAACTTATCGGTAGAGCTAATTGAATTCTGAAATTAGGTTAAGGGATGCAAAAAATCGTGTCAAAATATTTCACATTATTTTTTAAAAATATTTAAAAATATACGGCCAACTAGTGTTCACCCTACTATAAACCCATCGCCTCCTGAGACTTCTATGAGAATGTCCCGGGAAATCGGACTCCAGCTGTTCTCAAGGTCATCCAGCTGTGTAAACAATGACTCATCAGTGTCAAATTTCACAGAAAGGCGAGACAAAGGAAAATAAAATTTGAAGCTTTTTCTTCAAAATTAACGCATTTCTTTCGTTTTTTTTTCAGCTTTAAGTATTTTTTATGTTTAATTACATTAATATCAAAAATTGCTTGAGGCTTAAAGGGTTATGTCATCGACACTCAGCTGGCAGAATTTTCTGCCGGGTAACGAGAAAAGGGCAACAAACTGGACTTGTAAGTTGTCTGATGTAGCATTGTTAACTAACTTGCATTGCCAAACTAAATTGATTCAGTCACCATTGATTTGATCTCTGAGTGATGAAAATTAGTAGGCCCAACTTTTTTTGAATCATGTGCACATGGGAGTATGCTACAAGTTCTATTCAAAATCCTACTATAAAATTTTATGATTAATCATCATAGATGTGAGAACAATAAAAATTTAACTTACTCAAGCCTGTAACGTTTTCTGAACACCTTACGTGTTGAAGAAAAGGTGTTCAGAAAACATTTGTTGTTTAAATTTTAGTTTTTCACATCGGTTACAGGCTGAGTAAGTTAAATTTTTATTATACAACCTGGTGTGCATGTGGAAGTTATGTATATATATCATTTAATTAAATGTTCTTACATTTGAAAAAGGAATAATGTTTTGCCAAAAAAGAAACACGTAGACATTGATTTTTGTCAACTGTTGTCATTTTGCAAATGAACAATTGAAAATTCCATTATCTTTTTCTGAATGATTGTTAGACTGACAGTTGCATGGCATAATTCTAAAGGAAGAAACTGATCCAATGTCGTATCAAAAATGATGGTATTGACTACAGTAGTTTGTGCAGATTCAACTAAAATGATGGAAATAAAGCCAAGTGTTTATTTATAACTCAAATGTGAGTTCGAAGTCCAATATATTTAGAAAACACGGTTTCGAAAACAACATAGGAAATTTATTTTATTATTTATTTTATAAGTTTTAGAATTCAATTTTCATAGTTATGTATCATCTTTGTATTCCATAAAATTAAATTTGACTATTGGATTTGAAATATCTTGTACATTTAGTATTTCATAGATAATTGGCAGTATTATGTGTTGATTGTAATTTGGAAGAGAATGTGTTAAAGGCACACTGTACTAGCAACCTTCCCAAAATACTTATAGTGAAACAGCACATCCCCTTTTTACTTTCCTGGCTGTTTTATATAACAGAAGGAAATTTTTGTTGAATATTTCCTAAATTTTCCAGACAGGTTTGTATATTAGGGAGATTGATGCTATTAAATTTTGGTGATAAAGGTCTAGGGGGTGGGGGAGATAATGGGGGCCATAAGTCTGATTTTCTACTGAAGATATAATGACTATTTTACTCATTATGTTAGTATTTACAATGTTTTATATAGCTGTCCCTACTCTCAAAATTAAGTTTCTTGCCATTTTATAATATTTTAATATCGTAATAGATGGCTCCAGGAAAGTTAAGCAACTCTTTGCTGGATTTAGATAAGATTACTTGAAAGTGTGACAGAGGTTTTAATGGCTAAATTACTTTTGGAAACAGGAATTTTAATAGATTGTATTAAAACCAGCTTGCTCTGATGTGTACCAGCTCTGTAGTAATCATTACTGAAAATAAGGAAAAAATATTTCCAATACTATAAAAGTTTTTAAGGCACTTTACAGAATATCATACCAATTTTGTCCCACCTTTAGAGGATGTTACTCTTTATACGTGTGAAGGTCTGAAACCCTTTTTCTGTCTTAAAACAGTATAAAACGCGAGATTTTCTCTGTAAAGGGAAAAAGGAGAACCTCTGCAGTCAATGACCGAGACACTCTCCCCGAATAAAAAAAAAAGGGGGGAATGTTAAAATAGCAATGAAGGAAATCTCATTCATTTGTTTAAAGGTAATTCTGTAGACGGTAATATCAACAAGACGAGAATAAAAGATGTTCCTTATCCCCTCTTTGGTTGCACATGACATGTGGTTACAGCAATAAATTGCCTCATTTGTAGTCAAACGCGACATTTGATATAAACAATATCTAGATTGTTGACCAGTTTACAGAAATTATTGTCAGCTGAATGTTAATTTATGGATAAGAGCAGTCAAACCTATAGAAATTTATATTATAAAATCATATCTTCTAGACACCAATATCAATAAATTAAACAAACTTCTCTGTGTCAGTTGTCCATACCAGCTAGATCTAAACATCAACACACTAACAGGTGTGCATACAAATCATTAATAATATCATAGTTCTCACCCCCTCAAATTTAGTATAAAGAGGGCTCCCGGCCAGTCATCGGGGTGGCCTTCAAGACAACAGGAATCAACTGATCAATTGCCTTTAAACATTGACCACTGACGACGGACGACTAAGCAAGATTCTGCTATATACAACTTAGTAAGTAGAACTCGTTCTTTTCTCTCAGGTGGACTAGGGCTAAGTAAGAAATAAATATTAATGAGGATCAGAGACTCTCCTCTGTCGGAAATACGGAAATACACGAGATGCTAACCACCAATTGGAATTTCAGTTTGAAATTATCATTATTATTAATCTTGTTACTTATAACCTTTTTGTATTGCCTTTATTAAATAAATTTATATAATATCTTAAACATGTGTGTTTAATCGTACTCGGCCAACACCTTATCGACTTATCCGCAACCTCCCACTCGATTTTCGTCCTCCTAAATTGCCATCCGCTGACCCTGTGAACGGGACTCACCTTTCTGTTGTCGGAAAACAGTTTAAGCTTTGATGCTTAAACCCCAATTCTCACATACATGCAGAAATACAATATGAATGGATTTTGTAGTTTATTATCAGAATGACTATATATGATGAGATTACAAGACAAGCCTTAATTGTTAGTATTATACTTTAATATAATGAGTTTAATTAGTTTTAGCCTTAATCATCTGATAGCAAATTAAAATGAAGTTTTTAATCCATTGTCAGCTCTGCATCATTGAAATGGTAGGAAATTGGAAAGTACATGATATATTCTGTATTCCTTCAACTAAAATAGAATGACTTACATGCACAGTTGTTACATGGTGCACCAACGTCAATTCAATTAAGTATTTAATGACATAGCATTAAAAATATAGAATTAGAAACAGAGCTGTCAAATATTAGTTTTAAACTTGAAAATATTTCAAAGTCATGTCAATCTTAGAAATATAGAAAATAATTTTTATACCATTCCTCTGCTGATACTGTTCTTGAAAATGTAAAAATTTCACAAAGAAAGCTTTGGTGTATGGGGAATGATCAATATTATTATTGATTTTCTTAAGTACGGTATGAATGACTATTACAATTTAACCATTAATTAAAATCAAATTTTCATGATTTCTTAAACAAACAAAATAAAAATGTAAAGGGTGAAAGAATTTTTTTTGTTTTACCAAAAGATGGGATGTCTTTACCCCGGTAGTTTTCAAACTTTTTGTTCCATGTCTTATTTGCTGGTAGATATATTTTGCATATTTACACGTCTGCATTTTAATAAAATGGGGTTCAGCTACTTTACTGTTGTGGCTTAGGCTAAACAGATTCCCTGCTGTACTTTGCCCCAGGACAATCCTCCACTTTCCCACTTGAAAATGTCTATCTGCACTTATAGTTTCAAGATAATAATCCAGCTTCTGGCTGCTTACAAATATGTTCTGAAATGTGATCTTTATTGATATATTAACAGTTATATAAGTTTTACTTACCATAGATTTTTGTTGACAGGTATCCATCCATCATTCTTTGAACATTTACACAGAATTGCAGCAACAGTGCCCTGACATTGGAAAATTTACATGTTTAGTCATATGTTGCTTCTCAAATATAAAATTCCAACATACTCACCGTTAAAATACCCCAGAGCATCCACCGCATTACCCTTGGCTTCCACTCTTTATAAGTTAGTAAAATTTTCCCTGCCTGAAATTTAATGAAATTATTATTAAATGTCTGTTGTATAAAACTGAAAATTAAAGTTATTTACCTGCAATCCCAAAAAGACCAGAAATATGGAAGTCAGGCATCCCAATAGACCTTCTGGATCATAGATAATTCTAAATTCGTTGTTTGGATCATAAAGTTTCTACAAATGAAAAATTTAATTTTATTGTGAATGAAGAGCTAAATAATTGACCAACTACTTTTTTAGACAAAACTAGCTAGATCATGCATTTATTGTTATCTTATGCAATCATATGTTATCACTTCATGTCATACAGTTTGAGGACATAGCATCTAATAGGTGGATCATTTATGCCCTATACTGATAAATTCTTACAGTCTAGTGGGAAAAAAATGGAGAAATAATATCTAAGCCACTGGATTATTTTCAGTTGGTGTGATTAATAACAAGCCTGTCCTGCTGCAGATCAACCTTTCAGGATTTTCTAGTTATTAATCTACTTATTTTTTTTACAAGAGTTATCCATAAAAAAACAGTTTTAAATTGAATACAGATTATGCAAGGATAGTTTATCTGCAATTTGTTATTTAAATGTTTTGTAATAAACAGCTTTATCCTAAGTCTAGAATGTCAGAGGTGTGGACCTAAATAGTATAAAAATTTACTTCAGTTCTAGCAAAGTATGCAATGCTGCAGGCAGGGGTGGATCTAAGTTTTTTGGGACCTAGGGCCCCATTTTTTTGTTAGATTAAGAATCTTTAAATTGGGGTTTAAAGTTCATTTTTAATAACATCAAAATTGGAGTTGAAATATATTTATTTATGAAATTAATGAAAAGGTATTAAAAATTTATGATAATAATTCAATTTTTGTGGGACCTTGATACTTGGGGCCCAGGGCTTAAGCCCTATTAGTCCCTAATGTAGATCTGCCCCTGGCTGCAGGTACGCAGCTATACAATCCACTTGAAATTATTGTATCTGTACACTAATGCTGACAGGAATGTTAAAAATTGCCTTGTCAGGATACTTTGAATTCATAACAAAGATGACATACAGAGTTTACTATACCAAAGTTAAAAGAAAAAATAAATATCAACTTACTCTTAATGTTGGGTGTTGATACATGTGACTCCAAGTAAGAGCATGGTAGTCGATATAACTGGCAGCTCCTCCAGCATAACGACACTTTTCGTATTTCCCATGATCATACAGACCATTGGGTCCAAGATAACCTCTTTACAAACATAATAATGTATTTACTTTCTCTCAAAATTTTTAATTTCAAACTAAATGATACTTACCGTCCACAGCCTGGTACATATAAAAGAAATGTTAATAGGATGTGAGCTGCCAAAAGTGATAACATTATCAACCATTCCATCCAATAACAGACAATGTCTCTAACAGCTGCCCACTTTGTATGCTATCAGATACATTTTAATATTTGTTAACAAATAAACATCAGAAACTTAGCTCTATAGAAAAACTTACCGCACATACATCCTGTGGTTTGGCAAAAAACATGTGAACAGTAGCAACCACGAAATATGAAATACTAAATCTTTGTAATACTCCAAGTATTCTTAAGTCTCTCAAATCAGTTTTTTCTTTGGACCAAAGAAAAATTTTAATAAAATCAAATTTATTAATCAACTCTGCTGATTGAAAAAACTTACCAGGTTTAAAAGTGTTTAACATCAATCCTAATAAGAATAAAATCAGAGTACGCTTTACAATCTTGCGAAATATTCGGAGTCGGGGTGTTGATCTTCTAAGTAGAGAACGTAGAGAAAATGCCATGGAAACACCCATTATCCAAATAAACCTATGTAGAAAAAATGAATGACAAATATGAAAAGTATGTACAGTAGACTCCCCCTATAAAATGGGTTCATATAATGCAGATTAAAATTGCAAAAAAATTGCGACCATATTCATATAAACACGCTAAAAGAAACTTGTAAAATACAGTAAAATGCCATCGCCAACTTGTGTCGCAACAGAATTGGTCGAATCTAGACCAATAGCGGATATTGCACAAACCATTGAGTTTAAACGAGCAGCGGACCTACTAAAAACCATTTATTATGTAAAAGCCATAAAAATTATATTTATATTAATGATGTCTCCAAAGTTCAGCAAATTTTTTGCAGAAAAATAATTTATCAGGAAGCATGCGCCCTCCGTTCGATGCGCCACTCCATGATGAAAACAAGCTTAAGCAATGGTGTCATCAAACGGTGCACACTTGGTAAGTAATCCTACAATTTTTTGTTTATAGCATAGTTTATATGAATTATTCCCAAAAAATTATACGTGTTTTGGAAATGTTGAGTAAAACTAGTCTAGAATCAATTAATTTTATGGAAGAAAACCTTTCAAACAGCCGTAGTCCCTAAACTGCACACGTGCTGGGCTGTGATTTGCTCATGTATTTAAGGACTCGTGGAACATGAATTTCATAAAAAGTGGAATGTATCTACCGTGTTATGGGGGGGTCGACTGTATTTCATGCTTGTCAATAATCAAAAGAAGGTAATATTTTTTCTGTTTATTCTGCCAAGACTAGCATGATTTTTCTCTCTCGTAATATCACTTGCATTTACTGATAGCCAATGACTGCTGCTATTTTATAGCCAGTCCACTGCAATCAATGCAATTTCTTTGTAGGAACAAAACAATTTTCTTCATGTACATAAAGATGTAATAATAATCATCAATGTTAATTATGGTTTATGTTTTAAAACTCAATGCTGACATTTAATTACATGAAATTCTGTATTTAAACAAATCATTTGATATTCAAGAGAATTATAAACACCAAAAATAACTAATCAACCCAATTCAACAACTAAAGAGCTTGAACTATAAGAAGACATGTTACTATTTGTTAATCTGGACAATTTGATCAACAAGTGTATTGTGAAATTGCTGAATGTTAATTTTAATGTAGTAATATCATAGTGTGTTAATTCTTAATTAATTTTTTAAACACTAAATTTATAGCTTCAAAAGATAATCTAAAATTTTTATAATGATACTAAACTTACCATGGAAACACTAGATCTGCTACTGTTAATCCATTCCACACCGCATGACTGAAAAACTGATATCCTCCACCTCCATAATTTACAAATATCATGATTACAATTGATAGTCTATCAGAAAATTTTGAAAGATACATTTTAATAGTAAGTATAATTCCACATCATCAAAATATTCTTACCCTCTGAAAGTATCTAATGATCTCAATCTTCGTTTCTTGGTTCCCGCTTGAGAAACCTGAGTTACTGAGTTTGATAAACCGGCATTAAGTTCTTCCTAAAACCATAAAACAATTAGTAACCATTGTCACTCATAAAATATATTTATAAAATTTTTTAAATCTTACCGATGAAACTTCAATAGAATCCCTCTTTAAGAGTTTATGAAAATATCTCCTGAAAATAAATTTTAAAAATTAATAATGAAATTTAGAAAGAAACTCAAAGCAATTAACTGATTGTAAAAATTACTTATAAAGATATTTTCCAACAATCCACAATATGGCAATAGAGAGATAAACTAGAAATGCATACAGAAGAGCTATATAAAGAGAAAAAAAAATTAATACTTTATGTGCATATTCCATATAATTATCTCTTAACAAAACTAGTTATATGTGCCTGGCATTGTTTGGGTTTTTTGTGGGGGTGGGGTTGGATAGAATATAAAATGTACATATGAAAAATGTATCCACCAAAGAGGCCCAATAAAAAAAAAGGTGAAATGCATTTGGAATGTGTCAATGATATAATAAAGTCAATGGTAATGATAAAAGTTTAATTTATTTCCTTGTCACTTATTTGCCAGGTTTGACCTGTAAAATTCCTCGACGTTGGAAGTAGAGAGAGTTTATTTTTACTTGTTTTTAACTGAAAATATTTATTTTTAGTGTTATAAAATGTACGTATATGTTTTTAAGACTAACATAGTTAGTCTTAATAACTAGCTTAGGCTAAAGTTAACAGGGAGTAGGCTTTATGGATGTTTGACAGTGGGACCCCACAAAATTTTTTCTATGGTTTCAAAGAATACTTATGCCAATTTGAAAAAACTGTAGAGCTACAAATTCCCAGTCGTCTGTCCGTCTCTGACCTTCCTTAATCTCTAGAATGCAGTTAAATAGATGAAAGTCGAGACCAGGCATTGGAAATCATAAGAAAAAAGAACCAGATTACCTATATATGAACTTCTAATTTGTACTGCAAGTTATGTTATTTCAATACAAAAATTTCCCCCCAAACAGAGTTAGATACATAACTGGCACAACTCTATTGCTAACAGGAAAAGTAAGATGTATAGGGGCAAAACACTACTACACACAGGCAAGTGCTATGTACTATCTGTCACAGTAATGGCATATTGGCACATCTATTTAGCGCTATCATTGTTGCAGTAATTCAGTGAATAAAATTTATATTTTTTAAAATTTATATACTTTTTTGTAAGAATTATATTTAGTTAATTATTTTGTTAACTTTTTTGTCAATAGATGACGCTATGTGTAACTCAGAAAATCGAATATAAATAAAAACAAGTAAAACACCAAAGCCATTTTTGGGACAAGACTATGTCTTGGAGACTCAGGGCTCAACTGCATACTGTTTTCTAAGGAAAAAAGAAAAATGAGCATTCTCCAGTGAAGTAAAGTTGACATCAGTACTTGGAGTTCTGGCGTTGATTACAACGGGCTTCATTGCCACCATGGTTATGACAACTTGCATTGTCATGGGCCTGTTCTTGATAAGAGGGATCACTTCAACGCTCATGGTGGGTTCGTTCTCATTCTCCAATCTTCTTTTGTATCACTGGTTTTGAGCGCATTAATTCAAACTTTGCCAGCCTTGGCCATGGTCACAACCATGAGGTCATCCACAAGGCATTTTTGGTGAGATTAACCTATCTATCCAATGTCGAAATTTCTCTCCATTGTGTGTCGCCCCAGGTTGAATTTTTTTCAATAACTAATGAAAATTTCTCTTATTTAAAAAAAATAATTGTGGCTATTGTATTTTGTACAAAATAAAAATCATATTTTTATTTTGTACAAACAAAATAAATATATTAATAAATGTAAAAACAAAAAAAAATTATATTTTGGAAGTTAGTTAAAAGTTGGAAGTTAGTTAGTTAAAACTAACTTCCAAAATATAATTTTTTTTGTTATTTAATATAAAATTATAACAACTAGCACCATCTAGTTTCAAAAACGTTCCGATGCTGAAATGAGATATCTTGGGTCAACTGGTCAAAGTCAGTAGGTCATGACCAGAGATATGTCAGGAATAACATGGGACAGGTAAATGGGTTTTTTCAAAGATTTGTTTTCTAAATTTGATTTCGCAATGTTTGCATTTCCAACTCTCAATGAGCAATACATGTGCAAATCTTGCACTAGTGCCTGTTTGTAGAAAGAGTATCGCCATTTTGTATTTTATTTTGATTCTGTTATCAATCCTCTGAGTACCTACAAGTCTGATTTCTTTTTATGTGAGCATGATTTGGACATCTAATACTCTGTGCCAAATTGCAACTCCTGACATGTACTCCTTCATACCTCTTAGGTATGTACCTGTTGACAGCAATACAATTTTATAAACAAGACATAGTCTTTCTTGTCAATTAATTGATTTATAGAAATGGAATCAATATTTTGGGTTGGGACATATGACATGATCTGAGTTGGAAGTATTTGAATGTAACTACCAAGTTTCGTAGCAATTGATCAAACAGTCTAGGAGTATATAGCAAACAAACATACATCCTCATTTATATACATAGATTTATAAATGATTAAACATAGTCATAAAAATTATTAGTTACAGTTTGGGTAAATATTTTTTATTCTTCATGTAGCTCTCCTTTGTTAAATTTTCATAAATTAATAAATGCAACATGTTTTTGGCTTTTTAAGGCTGGTGTTTGACATGTCAAATGCAAAATGTGCACAATGTTGAACAACACACATCATTAATTTTTGGCTTCCTTTCATTTCATTGCTCTTTTTCAAGTTTTAAACAGATTGTTATTTAGTGTATTTTATATGCATAAATAATATTTATTGTGCAATGTTGTCAACTGCTAATTTGTGAAGAATTTTTAACAGTCTGAAAATCATGAGCAAAAGGAATTTTGTTTGTTGGAGTACTCTAGATATTTCTGCATAAAAAGAAGCAATCACTAAGCTGCATTAAACATTATACAGTGTGTGATCAGTTAACGAACAGTTCAGACTTTGAATAAATCGGATAACGAACACTTTTGCAAAAGATTTTTATGTTTGGACAACGAACACCTCACAGAATAAATACAAGAAGAAGCAACATAAAACAACAAATACTGATTGGTGTCCCTTGTCTTTCGGGCAACAATTCAAAACTTTTTGGAGCACAGGAGATGTCGACTTCAACACTCACCCCATATATACTGATCGAATAGTATTCCTCCGAACTTCGAAACTCTCCCTTGTAATTCAAGCCTTTTATTTTTCTGACAGAAAGAATATTTTTATAGTATTTATGAGACTGTTGGGCGTGCACTTGTTAAGTTTTGCATCAGTTTTTATTTTCGAAAGGTGAGAGTGTAATAGCAAAGATAGAGTGGGCAGATGTCTGATGTTGCTGGACAATATGGCTTGAACAGATTTACAAGAAGACTCAAGCAGCTAAAGGAGTAACAAAAATCTCATCTGACAAATAAAGAACATTGAAGAGCGTATAATGGAACCTGAAACTGATCTGACAAAAGAAGAACGCCAAGAACTCTTGAATGAAGAACCAAGAAACTCGGTGAGATATGTTTTCTTCTGAAAAAGAAGATTAAAGTTGTAGTGCACTGATTTTCCTTCGGTAAAGTTATTTAAAGCTAGTTTCTTATGTCAAAAACTACCTCCGATAGTTTTTTAATTTTTTTAATTAATAGATTTTATTATATATAAATTTAATTAAGTTGGGGGGTCGGAAATCTCAATAAAAATTTTAATTTTTTAAAAATATTTAAAAATATAGGTCTAGTTAGTATTCACCCTACTTTAAACCCTTCTCCTCCTGAGACGTCTATGAGAATGTCCCGGGAAATAGGACATCAGCTGTTCTCAAGGTCATCCAGCTGTGTAAACAATGACTCTTCAGTGTCAAATTTCACAGAAAGACGAGACAAAGGAAAATAAAATTTGAAGCTTTTTCTTCAAAATTAACGCATTTCTTTCGGTTTTTTTCAGTTTTAAGTATTTTTTATGTTTAATTACACTAATATCAAAAATTGATCGAGGCTTAAGGAGTTAATGCTGATCTCTGCTATTAAAGATGTTTTGAAGTGGGAGGACGTCAGAACAAGAGTCTTAGAATGGCATCCAAATCAGGTTGAGGTTAATAGGCTTGGGGATCGCTACAATGACAATGCTATTTGGATGGTGCGGTGATGGATTTTGCCACCCCACAGATATTATTTATTTTGTTATTTTCTCACATTTATGTTTTGTAAATTTATTAATGTTTGAATGCTCAATAATTTTATTTTTATCTAGTTTTTATACATTTTTTTCTACAATTGTAACCACTTAAATTATTAATAAATGTGTCTCATAACTCTTGTGAGAAAAGACAAGAACGTTTGATGAATGTTAGTTAAAGCAAATTTTGTCCACTCTCTTTTTAGCACAAACAAGAAGCATAAACACGAAGATCACTTATTACATAACACTATTAATTACTTCCAAAAAAATCCTGAAGAGAGAAAAGCAATTGACATTGGACAGATTCTTTACCACTCTACAAACAGAAAAAACATGACTGATAAAAATGCAAGCAAGACTATATATATATATAGTCTTGCATTTTTATCAGTCATGTTTTTTCATATATAGTCAATATATATATATATATATATATATATATGCTGGATGGCCCAAAACTCGCTTAACCGAGCCANATTATATAATTTTTTATTTTTGGGGAGTCTCCAGAATGGATTAATCAAATTCCCATAAAAATCTAGGGTAAATTGACAATTAGTTAACAAACAATTCAGATAAAAAATACAGTCTTGGAATGGATTTTGTTTATTATCCAATCACCCACTGTATACATAAAACAAAGAGAATGACTCTAAAGAGAGATTTCATCTCTCCATAAAATCATTTGCAATCAGTTTGTAAGAACTGTCAGCATAAGGTGTCCAGAGTAAGAAGTGAACGAGAAGCATTCAGATGCTTTTAGGCTGAAAACAAAAACATAAAACAATGTTTTCAAGAGCCATGTGACAATAGTAGTTGTAAAAATTTCGTGTCTCAGTAAAATAATCTTTCTGGAAGTGTAAAATATTCCTAGTTTTGTATTTGTTATATTTAATACAAAACATTTTACAATATTAATTTATTGTTATTATTTTTTGATTAGCAAGTAGCAAAAATATTTGGAGCACAATTTAAAATTATCATAACTCACGTAAATATATGTTGTGCAGTTTGTTCGTAGTCTTTATATCTGAGCATACTGTCCAGTTTCCCGTGAAATTTAATGCATACATTCCACCTTCTTGAAACTCTTGTTTGCATCTTAAAAATAAACAGAAATATTAAAATTTTTAAACACAATACAAAATTAGAATTGTACTGTTACTTACAGTTTTGTAAAGTTTTCCGAAACTATTTCTATTTCATAATGCCTTCCAAATTCAACATTAATAGTTATGTTGTCTTCAGATCCTGGAGGAATGTGCATTTGCTCCAACAGATTGCACTAGTTTTAATCAATTATATTAATACACAGTTAATTAAATAGAATGCAATTTATAAAAAAATCATTTAGTTTTTGTAAACATTTTAGATGATCCTGTGTACTCTAATTGATTAGCTACGCTAAACATCTTACCAGTTGATCAAATTAAAAATTTACTTACAAAGAGTAGACTTGATGCCATGAGCTAGCTGCAATTTTTACTCTCTTGCTACACATCACAAGAAACAAAATAAATGACTTGCCACATGTCTATTCCTTGTAAATAAACTTTTTGTTTAATCATTCCATAGAAGTCTATAGATAATTCAAATCAAACAATGAAAAGGACAACAACACATATATCATTGGGTCAATTGTAACAAATGTAGAGTTCCATAAGCCAGTGGTTCTTAACTTTTTTATATTTGCAGCCCCCAAATATTTCATAATTTTTTTGTGACCCCATTTTTTAATAATAATTTATATTTGTTAAATTATCTGTAATAAATTGATTTTTTTTATTATTGCTTTATTTTTTTATATAATAAATGTAAAACATAACTATTATTTCATTATCTATTTAAATAGCATTCAAACTTCACAATTAAACATAAAAACTGTCATTAATTTTTAACTAAAAGTAAAATTAGAAACATTTAAAAATTCATAGAAAAAACAAAAAATATTCGAAAATAATTTAATGAGTTAAATAGGTAAATGTCTCTTCAATCCGAAAAAAGAAATCCTTCGGTAGACTGTCTCAGAGCTCTTCAGGTTATAAAATTCCTTTATTGTTTTTCTACAGATGCATTTCGGGCAAGTTTAATTTTCTAGCCCCTCTTCAATGCCTAAGGATCTCCACCTGTTTCTTCACACTTATATAGTACTTCTAGTTTCAATTTACAATGTTTTCAAAAATTTTCATTTTCTCTTTTAAGGGCGTATTACATCAAAATAATTATCATTTTGATACAGGAGTTTTATAACCTAAAGGGCTGTGAGACACAATCTACCAAAGGATTTCTTTTTTTGAATTGAAGAGACATTTACCTATTTAACAAATAATACAGTTATCATTAGAAAATTCAAATAATTTGATGAGATTTCTGCTGCTGAATATCCTCAACTAATTTGTTAATTCTTGGTTCAATTGTTTGTAATGCTATCCGCATGTAATCACAATCGATTGCATTTTTTTGCAGGCATGTAATCACAATCGATTGCATTTTTTTGTTTTTATATCCACCATAGTTGAGAACCCTTTTTCACACAAATATGCATAAATTTTGCATAATTTGGCGACCCCCAGCAAACTTCTTATGGACCCCAGGGGGCCGTGGCTCTCCTGTTAAGAAACACTGCCATAAGCTGTGTCTGAAATTTTGGATCTTTAGAAAGTAATAAACCCAATTCTGCTTTTACATGGTATGTATATTTCCAAAAAATTGTGTAAAAAAAAAAATATCTCATCTATATGGAAAAACGGAAGATTGGTTCCAGACCTTAAAAATCAGTAAAAATAATGCAATAAACCAATTTAAATTTAATAAAATAATACTGTATTTCATTTTAGTTACCTTATCCTATCCTTCTCTGATTTAGTAACACAATATAGTAAGACCCCACTTAATGTGGGGATGCATTTCTAGGGGATGCATTTAGCACTTTCCCTCACATCCCCAGCTAATGTGGGGAAAGAGCTCAATGAAACAGTGTTAAATGAGGTCATTTTAACAGAGTAAATACGGAAAGGGAAACACATGATTAAAAATAAACAAATTTTACTTCAATTTTAAGTTANCATTTCTAGGGGATGCATTTAGCACTTTCCCTCACATCCCCAGCTAATGTGGGGAAAGAGCTCAATGAAACAGTGTTAAATGAGGTCATTTTAACAGAGTAAATAGGGAAAGGAAAACACATGATTAAAAATAAACAAATTTTACTTCAATTTTAAGTTATTATTATAGTGTATTAATTTGCATAATAATACAGTAGAGCATCGATTATCCGATTCAATTGGGGACTCAGATAACTGAAAAAATCAGATAACCGAAAATAATGAAAAGAATACATTATTAGTATAGTACATTAGGATATCCCATGTAGTTAGTATATTAGTATATCGCTATTAACCAACTTCGCGTTGAATTTTCATTGATGTTTAGCCTAACAATTTTTTTTAAAATAATGTCGTCACTATTGTATCGTTAAAAATTATTTTTAAATTATTTTATTGCTCACAAAACAAACAACCACTCATAATTAGAAAATTAAGTCTTGTTTAAATACTGGCCTCCCTTCAATGGTTGAGCCATGTTGCCAGCTAAAACACGCAAAAATTTAACAAAAATAATATTAAAGTATCCAAGACATAGCCAAATATTGTAGCACCACATCATTAGCAGACATTTGAAATTTGCCAACTAGAACGGTCTGTTAACATATGTGATGGTTAATCGGGGGTCGGATAATCAATGCTCTACTGTATATGTTAAATAACACACAAACATAGGCACACAGAAATGTAAAGTTCATTTCTTGTGATGAAATTCCTGACTTTTCTGAAATTCTTGTTTTTTTGCAATAAAGTCATGTAGTTTTTCTTTTGCCGCTTTTTTTCTTTCCTTAAGCAAATGTCGGTAGCATAACACATCCAAAACATCTTGTCTCGCTTTTGCACTCCTTTCAAAATCTTGATCATTCACTACAGTTTGATCAACGATTTCTGTTATTGTTACTAAACTTTTATTGAGGAAATCTGTAGAGAAATTTTTTGGGTTCTTCATCTTCAGAATCTCCATTTTCCAGTTCTACACGAATTCCTTATTCTGCTAGTTCTTGAAGGTCATCATTGATAAGGCTCTCACCAGAAACCTGCAGTACCCTCCTTATCTACATCTCCTAGTCCTCCTGTATTGATTAGGCTGACAATTTGGTCAACCTAACGACATAGCAATAGGCTCTTCTCATTGAGAATTCTTGGATATCTTCAGCCATAATTTCTTCCACACTTCATTCATGCATTTATCAGTTAATTCTTGCCAAGCCAAGTCAATATTTCCTATGGCATCAAAATGTTATATTTTTTCCAAAATTTCACAAAATAAACATAATTTAAGGAAAGTACAGTGCTACAATGAATTGCTACCTTTTCCTGATTGGTTATTGTTCATAAATAATCGTATTATATATGAATTATGCTGCAATAATTTAAATCTGCATAAATTTTGAGCTTGTTTTTAGGCTTTGAGCAGACCACGTTATATCAAATCAGCATTAATCAAGGAAGTGTTAAGTGGGGTCTTACTGTACATGTGCAATTTGCCAAAGGAGATTGCCTCCCAGGAGGACTTTCAAAGGTAAATTGGTCCTCGTTTAGGTGTTATGCACAAAAACTATAGAAAACTCCACGTGACCAGCCTATTGGTTGTGAGCCAATCTGGTGAACCATCTACATTTATGTCCCTCTATTTATGTCTATCTACCATCTATGTCCCTCTGATTTCACCAAATTAGCATTTGGTGAAATCAGAGGGACAATTGTAACTTAGTTATCAGCAAAATTCAATAAATTTATATTAGTCATACAAATTTTATTCAACACCAAAATATCTCAAAAAATATTCTGCATGGAAATCAAACTACAATCATACAAACAGTCAAACTTAGTTTTCCTGAATTTTCCTGACTGCTCCAGTTGTGGGATAAAGTTGGAATAAAAGATTAATTGTCACTACACAGATTCAAATAAGTAAATTTTATAATTTGGCTGTTTGGTAGGAACAAACTTAAATGCAAATTCTAAGAATTTAAAAAAAAGAAGCAAATTTCTACAAAAGGAATTATGAATATTTTATCTTAGAATTAAAATCAAGTTGAGATTTTTAAAAAGACAAATTTATTGAAATGCATTACATCAAAAGAAATCATGTAAAAAGAGAATTGAATTTTTTCCAGACCATATTCAAAATCCACAGTATGGTAAAATTGACTTTATCACAGCTGTAGACCATGTTTTAAGGAGTAACAACAGTCAAAAGAACTGATGGTCTGCATGTGTTTTTTTACTGAGAAATAGTTCTGGACTTTTTTCACTTTTAAATTTTTTCCTATTTTTGAGGGTCTTCTCAGACAGACTGATTTTCTGGGGCTATATCTCATGAAGAGTGACACACAGACCATCACTTACATTTGACTTTTTTACTCCTATAGGCATGCTCTACAACTCCGATATGATCCCAACCACCTCATTGGAGCTGAAATTTTACAGTTAATATTACAATAAAAATATACAGTAATACCTCAACTTACGCTACCCTGACTTATGCGAACCCGGAGTTTTCAAATCTCGTCAATTCGTCTTTTGTTTGAGTGCCACGCAACTCTTGATTACTCACTCCTCCTACACTATTGTTCAGCTTACATGTTCGGACGTATCGTGCGGAATCAATACATAAATAACACAAAATAAATTGTAGCTATTTATGTGTTTGTAATATCTATGGAGACTTGAGAGACTATGTGGTGATTTCTTGTAACCATAAACAAATCAAAAGACGAGATAAGATTAACGAGAACATTTATTAGCTTACATACATCCAACTTGGATTTTACAAAAATTGCGAAATTATACCCTGACTTATGCGGTTATCACTTGGTCCCACTTATTGTGTAAGTTCGGGGTATTACTGTACTCGTTATTTTCAAGTAAATTTTTTAATTAAGCAATCAATGTTTGTGAAGCAAAATTCATCTTTAGATAAGTCATATATTGTTGTCTCAACCAATATTTAATGTGGAATTTAAGTCATTAAACAAGTTGTTTTAGCTCCTAATACCATTCTATCTTACAAATTAAAAATAAAAACCTAAATTAACAGACCTTATAGCATTCTTCACTTTGCATGAAAACTTTTATGTCTTTCTCATATTCATTTCTGACAGTAAAGCAGCATTCATTCATTTCCAGTTTTTCGCACATTTTCTTTGATTGCTCGCCCATTTTCATTAAATTATCATCCAGTGAATGGAAGTATACAAAGTAATTCGGATCGTTGAAAGGTGAATCTGTGCAGCTCACTGAAAAGAATAGCAAAAATTAATGTGAAGTCAAATATTTTAGTCTATAAATTTTCAATATAATAAGAAATAATGTCACTCTAGAAATGAAAGAACCTTTGAATTTTTTGTGACGCTTCAGCATACATCCTTTCTGTGGTTAGTGTAAATTTTTCTCATTATAAAGATGTCAAATATACATCATACTCACCCACAAGAAAGGGATAGAAACAATGCTCCAAAGCAAAAGCTAACCTTACCACATGACCAATAAGAGATCAATTACAAAACATGAATGAATGAGTAACAAATGAGCAGAGTCAGGAAGAATATTTACTAGAATAAAGGTTATCGTCTAGTAAAGATTCATGAAGCCTGTTTTGTAGTGCAGAGTCTAGGATATTATAAATAATATCTAAATTTATAGACTTACAGTGAAGTTTGTGAATCTTGTCCTTGTTACTACATATATGCTTGTACTAAAGAGGACAGTTTATCAGATGCAAAGCATGTGTTGCGTCACTGGCACTTATATATTCTTTAATTAAATACTCCAGAGGCCTCGTTCAAGTAAGATGCAGCTCCCAGTTGAGATTCACAAAATGAACTGTGTTTAAACTGTCATTAAATTATAATGTTATGATATTTTCTTCACCTTCAGACAATTAGATGTTGGCAATAACTTGAACCATATTTCTTTGATTCTAAAACACCCTATCAATTTAAACTTAAAAATCTTGGTGCTCTTTCATGCTAAAAGTGCATAAATGCATAGAATTACCAACAAAATTTGATTAAATAAAAATGCTGCGATAAGTACCAATATATTTACAGTATTTATATTCTGCAATACTACTATCTTGTTCTTTTGAATACATTTTAAGTGGAAAAACATCTAAAACAGCTGTTCTTGCTATACAGTCCATGGGGGTCCCCACACTATCCTCACTAAGATTTCTTGTGGCACACTCTAATGGACTCAGATCTGTTGTACCCCTAAGCTCTAGCATATATAGCTATTCCCACATCTATGTAACAACATGAACAGAGAGAAAATCATTTTGAAGTACATTGTTTTGTGCCATACATTGTGATATTTTTCATAGCTTATGAACGAACTACTTTGTCTAGTAAATGTGGAGTCTGCTGCAGCTGCTTGGTGTGTCCATATCTGTGCCATTCTTTATACTGTCATCCTTTGATGATTCATTGAAAAATTGACAAGCAATGGCTCAGTGGCAAACCATTTTGTGAACCTTCAAGTGACATCAAACCAGTTATGCTGCAGGGTCTTTTGCCATGTCCAAACTAACTGGTTTATAAAGTAGTGACATCATGCTGTTTATGACATGTAACAATGTCATAGATGTGGACACAGCTTAACAAGCCCTTCTCATAATAATAGAGCCTCACAGTTTTACATGTAAGTTGTAGACTCATAATGTAAGGCCCTAAGCTGTAGCTCATTTAGCTTATATGCAAATCAGGTCATTATGAAGATATTAATGAAGTTTGCTCACATGTAAGCAATGGCAACTGTTATGCTTTGTCCTGTAGCCATCAAGCCAATAAAAGATTCTCTTGAATCGAATGTAAGATGCATCCAAATTTCAGAGACATCAAAGTATGAAACATCGTATTTATATTAAATTTTTATGCATAACATAACACTGCTATAATTTCAAAAAAATTTATATAAATGTTGTTATCATTGCTGCATTAATTATTTAAGAGAATAAATAAATATTCAAAATTCACATAAATATTTTGCCGTGTTCTTTGATTAGAAGCAAAAGGATTGCCATATTGAATCAGGCTACTTTTCTACTTCTTTTCTACTTTACAGCTACTATTAATTACTAATAGTAGCTGTAAAGTAGAAAAGAACCAGCCTGGAGTGGGACTCTATTCCACAACTCCCATTCATCATGCATGTGTTTCCAATTACTCTGTTCAACCCTTCACTTCCAGACATATTTAATTTTACTTACAGTGCTGACTAAGGATGACTTCTATATCCTCAGTATATAACGGGTGGGCAAGCAAAAGTTCAGTGGGAGCCGAAATGTAGGTTTTGCAAAATGCATGGGAGCCACAGTTCTATACTTTTTTATTCTGTACTGCAGTTCTGTACCGTGATTTTATTATATAATATAAATATTATATAAAACAAATATTGAATTTTTTTAATAAACATATTTTCACAAAATTGTGGAAATAAAATTGTAAAAATAATAATAAAAAGAAGAAATTAACACTTTCAGTAAGAGCCACATGTAACTCAAGAAGAGCCGCATTTGCCCATGGTGGGTATATAATCACCCAATATGGATATCAGCCAGACATAGAAGTCATCCTCAGTCGGCACCATAAGTAATTATTTATGGTTATATTTAAAATTAAATATGTTGGAAGTGAAGGGTCAGATGGAGTAATTAGCCAGGTAGTGTAATTGGCAACACATCCAGATGGTAAGTGGGAGTTGTGGATTCAAGTCCCACTCCATGTCAATTCTTTTCTTCCAGAATATTGTAGATTATTTAATAAATATTAATTTATTATAATTATTTAAATTTAATGAGAGATTTGCTAATAACTGAGATTTTCAGTTATTAGCAAAGAAATTACTTTAAAACAAATGTACAGTGAGAATTTTTGTAAATTCATCACAAATTTCAGGTTTGAAAATATTAGAATTTATTTTTTAATTACTTTTATAATTTAAACTATTTATTTAAAGCAGGAATGAAGAGAATCTATGAAAGTGAGCACTAAAATGTAAGAAAAAGCAGATAAAAGATCAAGAAAATTACAACAAAATTAGATGCATTTAACTAGAAAAAATTAATGCAGTTTCTGAGTCCTTGCAAGATTCAAAAAACATCACACTAGACACATATTGTTCTTTGTATTCATCTCATGATGAGTTCCTAATGAGTTTGAATGATCAGTTTGACACAATTGAAGCAGAAGCTAAACAATTATTGCCTGATACTAATTATACAAAACAGAGACAACAATCTAAAATAAAAATTACAGGTGAATCTCAATCAAATGAAAAAGTGTTAAGTCCCAAGGAAAACATTATTTTTAATGTTTTTCTGAAAATTCTGAAAAACATTAATATGAATTTGAAACAACATGCTGAGTCTTATATGGAAATTAATCAGAATTTTGAATTTTTAATCAAAATTGACATTCCTAATGAAGAACTGAAGATGTATACAAAATATTGTCAAGCAATATCAAGGAGATATTGATTTCCCATTATATAGTAAAGTTTGGCAACTATTAGTTTCATCAAAATTAATTGAGATCGAGAATCCCTTTGGCTCATTTGTTCTTGTTATGATAATAAGAGAAAAGAGTATGGAAATTGCATTTCCAAACACTGAAACAGTTTTAAGAATTTATTTATGCTTGATGATTACCAACTGTTCTGGTGAGAGAAGATTTTCAAAATTAAAATTAACCAAAAATGACCTAAGGTGAACCATAGCCCAGAATACCTTAAACAATTTCACTTTAGGCCTATTATACAGCAATGTTAATAAAATAAAATCCATTGATTCTGATTTATTAATCAATGAATTTGCCAAAGAAAAATGTAGAAAAAATTTTTGTAAAACAAATTGTAATTTTTTATACCACATTGAATTTTATAATAAAAAAATTTTTTTAAATATTAGTTTTCATAGTTCGTAAAGTCTCACTGACCTCTCAACTCAATAATCTAGGATTAACTTTTAAATCAGATCAGGTATTTTAATATACAATTTATAATATTTCTTATGTGAATAAGTCAAATAAAATTTATTTCAGAGATGATTATTGTTTTTAAGGCCCCAAAGTCTTGCTCATCTTAGGGCCCCCAAAAATGCAAATCCAGCTCTGTTCATTATACTGTATTTTCTTGCAATTAATGTCTGAAAAATCAGCTGTGTTTTATATTTAATGTCAAATGAAACTTGCCAGTTTGATGACTAAGAAAGAGTAAATTGCAGCATAATTGCCATTACTCTGCACTTGCATGTGAGCAAACTTTGTCACTCTCATTCATTCTGTGCATTCAAATAAAATTTGGGACTATACACTAACCAATGCCAAATATCAGGCTAGAAACAGCTATAATATTAATAATTTATAAGACAATTTAGCATTAGAGTTAAGCATTAGGCACCATCTCTTGATAAATTTAATAATTATTATTATAATTAAATAATTTAAATATTTTAGAACTACTGGAAGAAAAGAATTGGCCAGGAAAATTTGGGACTATTTTCCCAAATTTTTATTATGTATAATAAATATTTGGGAATATATTAAATGAATATATTAAAAAAAAAAGCAAGGAAATGTACTGCAGTGTGTAATTAAATATATTGCACTCATTTACTATTGTATTTTTATCAAAATAAAAGTTGTACACAACCTACAACAATCTAAATTTATAGATTTATCCAAACAATCAATACACAAAAATGTTTCAGCATTAAGTTGCTAGTCCTTATACTATAAATCATGTTATGATCATGGGCATATGCAAACATTGCTTAAGAGTGTTCATTTATCCAAAATTTTACACACAAAAAACAAATGCAAATTTTTAATTTGTCATCACTGATAACCTTTTCCTTTTTGTTCCTGTTTTTTTTTTTTTTTGTTCTTGCTTTACCCACATTTGGAATGTATTTGCCCCTGCTCTCAATTCAAATGCCCACAGTTATGATGTTATTAATAATTCAAGTTAAAGGAACTTATAATTTTTCTGAAAATTTGTAAACATCTGTAATGTATTCATTCATTTACTTCTACATTCTGTAAAATGCTAATTTCAATTCAACTGGGGAATTATTTCACTAAGAAAACATCTTTGAAAGGACATTTAACCTCTATCACAGCTGTTATGACATCAATTCATCAATTATGGATGAAGCAATAGGTAACAGCTGTGAACTTCTAATGATTCTTCTAGATTTTTAAAGTTATTTTTAGCATTTTCTGTAATATGTTCATTCCTG